TAGGCTGGGCTCGTGGCAGCAATTTCTCCCACTTTGGCTATTTTCTTGCTGCCTGAACTACTCAAGAAAAGTTTGTTTGCATGGCAGTGAGAATGGCAACGTATTTTATCACTTCCCTAGGGTGGCAGAAAAATAAAAAGCTTCTTGACAACCGCTGAGATCTTTTACAAACGTAAGAAATCCATGGCTTGGATGTAGTATTTGTTTAAGAACCATTTATTAGCTGTCTCTTGGTTCATGGGCAGAACACTCGGGGGAGTTCAAAACCTTTTTTGTATGGCTTAGAGTGATCTTCATTAGATATGCTACTTAGGCTTTCATTGCAGTCTGATGTGCTGAACGAGATGGCACTTGCTCATGATAGATTGTTTGTTTCTTCTGTGGTACCATTGCCCAAGCATAGGGAAACATGTTCTGTTGAATCTGGTGCCTCTGGCAGTGACTGATCACATGCAATCAGTGATAATTAAGCCTATTGATCCCATGGATTCATGTCAGACCTAAGCATCTTGCACTGATTCAGTGTTGCATGGCCAGAAAATCGTCATGTCTGAAGCTGGACTGTTAAGTTCTGAGATGAGGCTGCAGAGCACTGAGGAAGACAGGAGGGCAGGTGGCATTAGGGTCCATCCAGCTCGTAGGAACAATGGCCACTTGTAGTGATGACAGCCTTTTGGACATACACCTCAACTAGGGAACCCACAGGAAACCTCTGGAGACAGATCTCAAACAACTGCATGTTCCCAAGCTAACACTCTCCTTTCAGGTGCCAAACATGTTTGCACTGTATGTAGGACACTACCTGCAGGGTCTTTTGTTTCCTGGGGGTCTGCAAAGCTGTGTTTCCTTTGATGTCTGCTAATATGCAATATATTTGATTGATAACCACAAGACTTTTCAAAGACTCAGAAAACTGGCTGGGGCTAAACTCTGCTCACAGTGAATTCAGGACCAGTCTTTAGTTTCTGAGCCTGGAAATGAGATGGTGACTCCAAATGGCATGAGGAGCACAGCCATTGCCTTTGCCAACCCCACTGCTGTACACAAGAGCCCTCTGAACAGTGCTTCTGGCTTGGTGACCTTCAGTTGGTTAAGCATTGCTCATAGCCACCGAGGACTGAGGGGCCAAGGCCCCTGCAGAGGCACGGGAGCTTTTGTCACTTACACTTTGCACAAAACAAGGTGGAGCTTCAGGTGAGCTCAGCTCTCCAGTTCTACAGCCTTCAGGTGGTGAGGAATCTGCCATATCCTCAGCTGAACTCTCCAGCTTGAAAAATAAGCAGCTAATCTGCAGGCAGAACTTGTCTGGCTTGAGCTACCAGCCTGGGAAGTGTTATGCATTTGTATGTTCAATTAAAGACCCCTTTGCCCTTATATATATATTATTCTCCTGAACTTCTATTTGGAGCTTTTTTTCCCCCACTGCTTTTACATTTAATCACTGTTCTGTGGCAAGATTTTAAAGTTTCCAAATGAAAGTGCTATTCAGCTGCAAGGGACAATGGTTTTCTCCTCTGCCAGCCTGCAGGACAGTATGAGCTGAAGGGGGATGAAGGTGTAACTCCCACCCATGTCAGCTTTAACAACCCCCCATTCCTTCTCCCCCTCACCCCTCAGTATGGATCATGTCTAGGGCTTTCCACCAGGGTCCTATATCCTACCACTTTGCCACTCTCTGATATCAACACGTCGAGATTTAATGAGCACAGGCAAAGGAGGGTGCTTAGCAACAACACAGAGAGCACAACAAATACAGGGTAAGCAGTCTGAGATCAGATTTTAATGCCATCTTAATGACAACACCAAGATCTCGTTATTGCTCTGTGTAACTTTGCTGCTAACACAGATGCCAGGATACGACAGTGCATGTGCACTCCTGGGGTTTCCACTTTGAGGAAATGGGATTTTGGAAGCAAACAGGACAAAGGGAGAGGAAGAGGTGACAGACAGCATGGTGTCAGGACAGAATTTCTTCTGCCTGAATAACTTGGTCTGCTCAAGCAGCTGGATGGTATGGTCAAAGTGCCCTCCCTTACACTGATTTCTCAGAATTTCTCTGGATCCCAACAGACTGGAGATTTACAGCAAAGGTATTGGCACTATTAATTAAAGACTGCATTTTCTTGCAGGCTTTAACCCCCTTTTTAGCTCCACTCACTCCCACAAATGACAGGTATGTTATTAACAGATACAATCAAGCTTCAGCAATTATGCCTGTGGCTTTTTGAGAGAGGATTTGTTAAACTGTGTGAAACTTGATCAGCCAAAACCAAAAGTGAAAGATGTGAGGTGCTACAAACTCCCCAAACCAGCTGAAGTCAGCTTGCCCTTAAGGAATCACTGGCCAAGAAGCAGAAGGGAAGGGCAGCCAAAATTGGACATGGATCCTCAAGGCCAAACCCTGTACAATGTAGAAAAAAACCCCAGTGAGACAGACTCTGAAGAGTTCTCATGGGACATGAGAAACTGTCCTTACCACTTGTCTAAGGTGATGCCCTGGAAGGGTTTGGTGTATTAGACACAAGCCTCTAAAAAAGACCACAGTTACTCAAATTTCACTCCTGCACTGTCCCAAAGCAGGGGAATAACCTTGTCCTTGCCTGTGCCCCATTCCAGCACTGCCGTTATACTTATGTCCTATACTAGACAAGGATGTATTGGATGGGCTGGGAGGAGTGGGGAAATCAGACAGCAGACCTGTCTGAGTCCAGATAATGGATTAATAGCAGAAACAGAAATAAACCCTCCGTCCTTCAATGTTTTTCATGCTGCAACCTTGATACACCCTCTGTCTGACCCAGCACCAGCTTCAGGAGCTGCTTCTCACACTGCCCCTTATCACGCTGCACATGATGTATTGGATGGGCTGGGAGGAGTGGGGAAATCAGACAGCAGACCTGTCTGAGTCCAGATAATGGATTAATAGCAGAAACAGAAATAAACCCTCCGTCCTTCAATGTTTTTCATGCTGCAACCTTGATACACCCTCTGTCTGACCCAGCACCAGCTTCAGGAGCTGCTTCTCACACTGCCCCTTATCACACTGCACATCTCCTCTGAGAAACCACCAAGTGCAAAGGACCTGCAGGTCATTGTCCTCTCCTTTGTCTCTGACTCTCCATGCTGCCATGGAAAGGGCCAAATGAGCAGGGCATCATGGGCTCTTTACTCCTTTCTTTCCCATGTCACACATCTCAGAAACACAGGAAAACCCACCAAACTAGCATGACATTGTTGCATGCCCACTATTGCCATGCTTTGATTTCTCACTGTAGGATGTGCTGCTTCTACACAGAATCCAGTTGCTGTACCACCAAAAAGTGGTGCTTTGAAAGCTTCATAGAGGTCAGGAGCAGACTCAGGGGCAGAACAGTGTGAAAATCAGCTCATGCTAACATTATCTCCAGTCAATAACATTTCAGCATTGATTCAGATCTCTTTTCTCCTTGCACGGGTCTTTGTTATGAGGAGAAGAAAATGATTGAACAAGAGAATTAATGGTCCATGTATCAATGTCTCACGCCCCTCCTCTCCCCCCTTCTCTGTGAACCCTGGAAGAACACGTTCAGCTCCCAGCAGGCCTGACTCAGCCCTTTCTCTCTCCAGGAAAGGTACAAAGCTGTGGCTCTCTGTATGTTGGTCAAAGGAGAAACAAGAAACACAGGAGCTGGAGGGCAAAGAAAAGCATTTATAAGGGAATTAGAGGCTTTTGAAATGAGAAAATGAGATGAGAAAATAGTGAAACATAAAGATAATGGCAGTGGGAGTAGCCACAGAGAAAACACCCGCAAAGAGCAAAGCTAAGGAGAGGTGGGAGGAAAATGCTGATGAAAGAAGAAGAAGAAAAGAAAGCAAAATGAACCAGAAAGGAGTCTCAGCAAATTTCCATAACATAACACTGATGAAGCCTTTTATGATTACAGACAGGGATTCTCAGAAATTTTTCTTCTCTTGCAGGAAGTTTACATACTCCTATCTTAATCTCTCTGAACACTTTCCCAGCCTGAGTAGAAGTTGAAACTTTTTTTGGTAGTGCTGCCTGCTCTGAATGTGGGTTCCCTCTGTGCATCACCCAGCTCCATGGAGCAGTACCACCAAGGTCTGCTCCAGAGGGACCACCAACTCCAGGTCCACACTGCCTCCAGAGAGCATGGCAGCCCTGCACTGAAACTGCTTTTCATCAGAAGCAGGGTAGGAAACACACCAAGTCCTGCCAAAGCAATGGAGACATCCCTCACGTGGTACCTTGTGGGACCTGGACACGGGTTGGTTCTTACCCAGAGCTAGACAGAAGCCTGAGCTGATTCAGCCTGTGTGTTGGATGCAAGATACCAGGGAAAGTAATGAGATTCTGGGCTACCTGAAACAAAGCCAAACCCACAATATATATGGCCTTAAATGCTTCCAGAAATCTCAGCCTGCACTTATTTCAAGCCCAGCCTTAAACACCGACCCAGTGTGCAAACAAAGAGCATGGATCATTGCTATTTGGGTACCACCAGCCATTCACCTGACTCTGTCCTCTCAGACTACTGTTCATTTTCTCAGGCTGAATGTTTGCCTTCAAGATTTCCTGAGATAGATCTACACAACTATCAAAAACAAAAAAGATTGTAGTTTTCCCTGACAGACTTTTTGAAAGGTGTACACCACCACTCAACACTAGTGCCAAAGAACAGACTGCCAGAGACATCACCTTGCAGCAGAGAGGAAGCTTCTGAGCTCCACAGAGTGATTTTTACCAGACTTTTCCATCTGAAACACATTTTGCTTGTGCAGTTGATTTATTTGCACAGAATAAATCCATCTCAGTCACTTTCTAGTCCCGGGTCCTACAAAATGACAAGAAATAGTCTCTGATCTCCTCAGGACCTCTGCTGCACACTTCAGGGGGAGGACTTTCCAGTGGATTCCCCTCAAAGTTGCATGAGCAATGATTGTATCCC